ATTTAACCTTCAAGGAGCGGGAGTTTTTTCCAGTGAGAGCCGTCGATTTTCCGAAACTAAGAAGGATCTCTCAATGCCATTGTTGCGACATGATTCCACGCACGTGCAGTTAATGTATTTCAAAACTAAATTGCTCGTAGGTACAGAGCTGGCCCATATAGTGATTGGATGACCAACAATCCATTTCGATCTTGAATACACTACATTTTAAGAGCTGTAGACACACATACAGTCAATGCAAAACCAAATTGATGGCTTATTCCTCTTACTGCTCTATGTTGAAACAGTATCTATGACTAGTGATGGCACGAGGTGCAGTAATGGATCCAACAATGCATTTCGTGCCAACAATGCATTTCGATCTTGAATACACTACATTTTATGATCTGTAGACACATACAATCAATGCAAAACCAAATTGATGGCCTATTCCTCCTAATGCTCCATTACTGCACCTCGTGCCATCACTAGTCATAGATACTGTTTCAACATAGAATGCCTTGCGGACCATTTTAAAAGATTCAAGACGTGAACTTGTGGAAATGTATTTGGACAATCAAAATCTACTCTTGTATTACCAAAACTGTTAGTTTGAACATGCTTTACTTATTTAAATAAGACGTTTGCGATTGCGTTTCTAAAAGTCAGAAGAACTTGCATTGAATACACTTTAAATCGCAAGTCTTGTGCAAACGGGTAAAGTCTTATGTTTCACGAGCAATCCAAATACAACAATTTTGCTTATATCTGTTTTGCCAGCATTTATGATTGTATTGATTTCATACCTTTAGATGATGTACTTCAGTATGATTATGCTTCTGTAAATGGAGTTCCTGGTTCCAATCAGAACATACCAAAAGGAATGCAACAGATTCCAGGCGCATTTGAGTATGATTACGCTTCGGTGAATGGCGCCGGAACCTCGTTCCAATCAGAACAAATCGGCAGAAGGAATGCAACAGCGTTCAATCCCAGACGCATTTGAGTATGATTATGTTGCTATGGACGGAGATCTTCGTTTCGTCAATAACAGAACAAAAGGGATGTGCCAGCATTCAATCCCAGGTTTGTACAGCATTGCCAGCCGAGATCTGCCCCAGACTGGTTTCTGATCATGATTATACTAAGTACAAATTTTAACGATATAAATACTGGTCTCTTTAAGGTCATTCTCCGTAAGTGACTCGGTTAGTTGTTGTTGACGAAGAAGCAGCATATTGCAACACATTGCATCAACTTGCAACGTCATGTGTATCAGCCATTTAGGTGTACACTCTTAGTGTATTGACAATGCAATTTCTCAACAATACCTTCTGTACTGTGCAACTTCTAGCAGCTGGTTTTACAATACCGTCAACTGATCGACACTGAGTTGATAAAAGAGTTAGATAATGTAACAGCGCCTTATAGGTTCATCCCTGTTTTATTAACTTAATTCATATCGCCTGCACGTTAACGCACCTTATCARAAGTACATAATTTCTGATCCGATCTTATCTTTAGCATAAGTTTTCTTATTTATTATTATTTTTTTATTTCGCGTCGTAGTGCGTAGGACACATAACAAAGAAGATATCCCCACCCCAGCAAATCATGAGCCAAATGAATACATCAATAAAAAGGGCGATCCTGAAGATGGACTTTCATCTGAGTCAGCCTACCAGCCCCTACAGATAAAGTCCCCTGAAGATGGCGTGTATCAGTCATTGGATAAAACATCAAGAGCTGTCAATGCTAGTGAACGTCGATAATTTGGTCGATTAAAAGAAATTTAGCGCGTCTTGATTATGAATTGAAGCCGACGTTGGATAACGCACGCACGGCCAATCATCTTAGACTATACTATATTTTTTTTTGTGAGATTGAAAATGAATAATCCAGTTTCGAATTCTCACATGCTCTGTGTTGGCCTCATTTGCCTAGAAAAATATTCCTTATTGTGAACATAGTATTTGAGATTTCAAATCAGTTTTATTGTCATCTTCAAAAATTCCATGCGTTTTCTCTGAGCCTAGTAATCTGGAACGAAAGAATATTTTGCTTGGACGTTTTGAGTCAACACAGAGCAAACAAGAACTCGAAATTGGAGTATTGCTAGGAAACCGCGGTTCAAAAATGTTTTATATACATTTTTATTGTACAATTCCTGTAGTCTTAAATATATCAATAAGTAATTTTTAAATTAAAATAAATTAAAATGATATAAATGAAAGGGTAAGCGAGTCAATTGGTAAAGAGAAATATTAAAATAGTACGTGGACATCTAATAAAAGCATCAGCTTAAACAATAAATAGAATAGGTTTTCCTTTAGCACGACTGTCAAAAGACATTCACTTTCGTGCCTTCCAAGCTAGTGTCGTTTCCTAGTGAATAMATTTTACCAGTCGTGGTTTTCCGCCGCATGGAAACAGAAACATTTTTTCTTTTTTTCTTTCTTTTTTGTGGCAATAAACTTTCCCTTGTAAGAGTCACTATGCTTAGGATCTTGGTAAAGATGCCATATGAACCAGATTTAGAATATCATACACACTTACTATATATTATGTTCTCTGATAATTAAAATTCGTTTGCCAAAACAAGTAAAGATGCTTGAGCAACCCAGGAGTGCTATTGGTTCGAACTATGCATCTTCAGCACCAGGAAGTTTGGATTTTTCATCTTTATTTCTGAGTTGCATTGGTGAATAATGTTGTTGTACATCATGCCTTTTGATATATCAGATCCTGATTTATCTTTCCCGAAAGTATACATCATTCATTCAGATAAGAGTTCATGATCAGCAAAAAAAAAGCTGGCATCAAGGAAAATTTTTCTTGTCAACGATATGAGGCCAATATCATGGTTATCTATAAACTTTATCATCCTGTCATTCATAGCCCTATGTCCTAGTGTGCACAATACTGACAATGGAGTTGTGGTTGTTAAACGCGAGCAAGATCCCACTAACGAACACGCAAAGCCTGATCGATTTGGTTATGATTACACATGGACAGACTGTAGAACTAGGTACAAAGCCAATTTACGTTCACAAGGGTTCTGTCAATGCCCGAGTGAAAAAAGCACATATTTCTACTTCAACGACCAATGCAATGCCAATGTGGACATCGAAAATTTGATCTCTCACGCTCAAGGTAAGGTAAAACATCTGGTTGATGTTAGAACAAGAAAACGGCGAAATCATTCCGCGCAAGAAAAATTGAAAGCAACGCATGCAGAAGTAGTTATCTTTTAGATGCGGATTGTCTCGAGTCCTCGCAACAACTTTTGTATCCTTTTCAACCCTTCGCCCATCCTCCCTGTACAACATGCTACCGAGGCACCAGGGCATAACGTGAGCACCTGATCTAGGCACACCTGAAGTCGGGCCATCGTGTGTATCATATACCAGAAAAATATTTAAGGAGAAAATATAGGTTTTAATGAAAATTAAAAGCTTCACAGCTGGTGGCAACCGGCTAAGTAACTCATAGTTGCATTCCTATTAGTGCTGACTCCAGTAGTGTGGTTCAAGTTTGAAAATGAGAAAATGTTAATTTATTGATTATATTTACCTTCCAGTTTGTTTTGGAGGTTTTTTAGAATTCAAACACCAATCAAGAGACAGTCCATATCCTGTGTTTGATCTAACAGATACTCCACCGTCGGAGGACGTGAATTTTAAAAACGTCAAAACCTTCCATGGTCAGTGTAGAAGCATACATGTGTTTTACTTTGACGATTCAAGAGGAAAGTTGCTCGAAACAACGAATTTTGTGAACATTTTTTCTCTTAAAAAGGAAAAGCAGGTATAGTATATGACAATCCATTAATGTCATCCCATGTTCATCTCAAATGCCTGTACAATTATCATTACCGCTAACACTGAACACTCGCTTCATATATTTCTTTCCCTGCTACCAAAAAGTTCACTCGTGTCATCCCGGATCGAATTATCTTAGCCATCACCATCTCAAAAAATACATTCCATCAGACAATCTCACAGGAAAGATTTAGTAACGGGACTCGCTATGTCGTTCTGCAGTCCATAATTGTAGACATTAACATTGTTCACAAATCAATCCCCAGTTTGTACATCTAGACTGGCATCCATTATCCGAATCCATTTTAGACGGAAGGCTTATCATCATTGAATTCACAAACTGTACAATAGAGTTTTGGGAGTCCCCCGCGTCATCTGTCAGTAACCCTTGCATTATTTTCAAGGCTCAAGGGAGTTTAACATGTAAGTTTAGCCGTTAAATGACATCAATATGACGTCATACAAATAAGTTGACGTCATAAATATTCGCATCTTTTGTGATGGTCGTTTAATGTTTTATTCTTGAAATAAAACAATTGATTGTAGCACAGCACGAAATGAGAAAACAGTACACAGACCGAGAGAGTCTATAGTTTATAAGATGACCTGCTGTGTCAGTTCCTCTCTGTCCGTCTAAATGAAACCGCCATCAATACATCTACGTGAAATGCATGCAATCCAATGTGGGAACTGAATTATTTTTGTTTTTATCTGCAGTTTCTGCAATTGACTTATCAACTAAAACTGCAGTACCAAGTAGCTCTACAAAATCACCTCTTTATTCAGGTACTATACTACATTCAAAAAGGTTTTGCGCAAGTAATCAAATTTTGCAAATTGACGTGCAATTTGGTCAGTAATCGCATCTTAATAGTACTGATTATCAATCACGTCCACATGATGCTGCACAGCTAGTCCTTCTTCCTCTATCTTTTCTGGTTCGCCGCACTCGACATTATCAACGCCACCATCGACATGGCTAAAAGTACCAACACAAACACAAACACCATCAGCAACACCATCACCATCACCATCATCAACGTCAACACTACAGAGCACATCAACCGTTCTTCTTGGAATTCTTCCAATAAAACCAACCATGTCCCCAAACCCAACCAGTAGTAAAAGCCCCGAGGCCGTCAAGGTATTGCAAAAGTAATACTAATTATTCATTCCAATTATGAACGAAAAGTGAGGAAAATAATTTTACTAAAACAGAATGTTTCTTCCCATACTGGAGCCATCGTGGGGTCCGTCATTGCTGTAATTGCAGTTTTACTCGTAGTTGTCTTCGTAGTCTTAATTTGCCGAAGACGGAAACAAAAAACCTGGTAAGCGATATATATCATGGTAACACTCGAAGCCACGGTTCTATTCATTTCAGTGGAGTGCATAGCATTTTGAAAGGGGTTTACACAAAAAGCAATCACTATAATTGAATGTCATTTGCCATTCGGACTGTGTAAATTTGGATACAAATGTGAGAAAGTTCATCGCTTGATGGTTTGCCGTCTGTGCGCACTGCTAACCGTCCGACCCCTCATCCTAGCAATCGTTGACAAAATCCTTGGACCATTCCACAGCGAATTTCCTCATTTTAGGCAACACCCGCAGACAATTTCATCCCCCCTCACCCCCTAAATGCAATGTTGTTATTGAGCATGTAACCATAGCACACAACCATCCAAAAACAAGACACTGGTGAAAGGGGGATAAAAGGGGTTGTGGGGGTGGTGGGGTTGAGTATTGTGAAAAAATAAAGGGGAAAAATGTTAGGCTGGAGACAAATAATCCTATGGTCAAAGTTGGCAACGATTGTACTATGCCACTCTTTAGCTCCCACACGATGATCAACAGTTTCAACGAAAGCTGGAGAGGTTCATTTACCATCAAAAACCATTATATTCTAATCGTTTCCTTGTCTTCTTCTTCTTGGACAGGCGCAGAGAAACAGGAACCCAACATTCTAGTGAGTTATTTATACTCTTGTTTCGATTTCAACCAAATTACAACCTTAGAAAAGCTTACTCTAATAATGATATGATAACGTGAATGACAAATTGCCAAATTTTGTGAATATTTCAAGAAGTCAAAATCTGTAACTATATGTTCACAGTCGTGAGCTAACGGTCAAAGACCACCATTATCGATTTAATTCTTGAACATCAATTACATGTACCATTAAATGTTATTTCTTTTAGAAGATGATCCTCGTTCCAATGGCAGTCAAACATCCAATCGGAACGGAGCAGAAGAAATGTGCATGAACACAATTCCAGACTTACCAAACGACCCAGGTTATAATAATTACACAGTTTGCACATTCCTCAGTTTTTCACATTTTCCCATTCAATTTCTGTGACTTTACAGACCTGGTGCTAGCCTGTAAGCTGATACCGAATGATCAGTTTCTCTTTCTTATTTTTCTGCAGCAAATGCGGCAAATATCTCAACAAATGTACACGGAAATTCACAGAAAGTTGAGTTACAAGTACCAGAGCTATACGAGTCGATGAAAGGTGCATGTCTATTTACCAACCGTTTAAAAATAAAGTTTGAGCACTGAATACCGTGATACCGTTCTCGTACCCAGAACTTCTCAGTTTTCCGGAAAATCGAAGGCACTGGTTGGAAATGACGGAAATGACTAAATATTTGCTTAAAAATTCCCATGCTTCATATCATTATGCAACCCAGATTCTTGATCTTCTGGTATCAGACACTGGAAAAAATAGCGCACTTAAAAAATTTGATGTAAATGATGTAAGTAATATTTACATGATTTTGCATTTGCATAAATTTCACACACTTTTTACATAAATTGTAAATTTGATTCGCATCATATTTCCATAAAATTTAACCTTCAAGGAGCGGGAGTTTTTTCCAGTGAGAGCCGTCGATTTTCCGAAACTAAGAAGGATCTNAGGGAGTCAATTGGTAAAGAGAAATATTAAAATAGTACGTGGACATCTAATAAAAGTATCAGCTTAAACAATAAATGGAGTAGGTTTTCCTTTAGCACGATTGTCAAAAGACATTCACTTTCGTGCCTTCCAAGCTAGTGTCGTTTCCTAGTGAATACATTTTACCAGTCGTGGTTTTCCGCCGCATGGAAACAGAAACATTTTTTCTTTTTTTTCTTTTTTTGTGGTAATTAATCTTTCCTTGTGAGAGGCACTATGATTAGGATCTTAATAAAGATGCCAAATGAACCAGATTTATAGAATATCATCATGCACACGTACTGCATTGTGTTGTCTGATAATTAAAATTCGCCTTTGCAAAAATAAAGATGCTTGAGCAACCCAGGGTGACCCAGGCGTGCTATTGGTTCGAACTATGACATCTTCAGCACCAGGAAATAAGTATGGATTTTTTGTTCTTCTTCGCTTGTGAGGTGGTAAATGATGTTGTTGTTCTTGAATACGTAGATTTTAAAATGTAGAATGTTTTATTTTTATTGTTTTCTTGAAACCCCGACATCAATCAGATAAGGCTAGATTAACAAATTTGAAAAAAAAAATTAGAAAAAAAATTTTTATTCGAAAAACATGAGGTTAACGTCATGGTTACACATAAGCTATGTCGAGCTTTCATTTGTTGCCGTATTTCTCAGTTTGCACAGCAGACTCGTCAATGGAATTACGTATGTTGAACGTAAGCGGGATACATTTACCCAAGGAAAGCCTGATCTATTTGGATTCAATTACACATTTGGAGAATGTCTAAAGAAGTACAATGCTAATTTACGTTTAAACGGTTTATGCCAATGCAAGGATGGAGAAAGTACATATCTCCACTTCAAAAACGCGTGTATCCAGAACGAGAATATCGAAGATTACTTTTCTGATGCTAAAGGTAAGTTGAAATATCTGTTTTTGTTAAAACAAAAGCGCTTGAAATATGTACCGAATGCTTGTAGAATGCTAATGCTTTGAGTATCTAAGAGTTATTGTTATTGCATGCATTCGCAAACTGCACAATTCAATTCTGGGACGTACCGTCAATTGAGACTAGTAATCCCTGCTTGATTTTCAAGGCTCAAGGTACTTTAACATGTAATTACTGAAATCGTTGTTTACTATGTACAAATACGGTGAAATAAGAACGCTAATGCTTTGAGTATCGAACCATTTCATGTTTGCCGGGAAAATAAGGCTAAGTAGTGCAGATAGTAAAATGTTGGTGAATTGTATATGCATCAAACGCTTCCAAGGTTATATTGTTCGATTGCATGCTCTGCCGAGATATTATCCTAGCTCGTTGTGGACTTTCATCCTATTGTTTGACTCCATTTGATGTATAGTTTTTGAAGAAAATGTTAATTCATTTCCTTTCAGTTTGTCCTGATGGCCCAGTAGGATTCAAATACCAATCAGATCATGGCCCGATTCCTGTGTTTGATCTAACAACAGCTTCATCATCATCATCTGATGACGTGTATTTGAAAAAAGGGAAGACCGTCAGTGGTCAGTGCATTGTCTCAAAATTGCAGTACTTAGAGGATTCAAGTGGAATACTGTGTGACGAAACAACGAATTTTGCGAACGTGTTTTCTCTCAAACAGATACGGCAAAAAGTATGTAAATAAATGTATGTATAGTTCATGAACATTATCAGGCGCGTAGCGTACGTGCGTACTAGTTTTTTTTTTCTGATGTAATTGTCTTTGCTTGTTTTATCGCACCAAGGCTTTGTTATCAAAAAGAACCTGAGCTTCACATTTAAATAAAACGATCCAAGCAACATGCTGTCTTGATTATATTTCACACTCACGATCACGCACTGACCTTCGATCAGCGTACAACGAAAATGTGAGGTTATTATTTCGAAATTTCGGTGGAGGACCCCCAGACCCCACCTAATACTCTCGCCTTCGGCGGTGGTTAGCCTACCCCCCAATCCAAAATATGTGTCGCTGTCCCTAACCTGTGCGTACTAGCCAAAAAGTTCACGCTACGCGCCTGATTATGTTATTATCCTTAAACTGCCGCCTCATTAATTACCGACACCAGCATCATTGCCATTGCTATTACATCATCATCCATCATCATTGTCATCCTACTAAATCATCGCCTAAACAACTACCAACACCATCGAGATTGTCATTCAACATTTCAGTGTCTTCAATCATCCCTGCACCATACCCCACCACATTGCTGACATGTTTGACATTGACATCCTGGTTCTCCATCATTGCCGCTACTAATTATCTCAATTTCAAGAATGATCACCACCATGGCTTCACCATTGCACTACCACTTTTACAAATAAAATTGCCTTTCCAAATTATTTCTTTTGCCAATAAAAAATATCCAATGTACATTTTCGTATGAAAAGTATGTTTTGTGAGTAGAATCATCATATTTTAAGCTGTAAATAATCTGCCATAATTGTAGACCTTAAAATGTTTACGATAAATCCCTAGGCAGTGTATTTACACTGGCGTCCAATATCCGAATCAAGCATCTTAAATGGAAGAGTTATTGTCATTGCATTCGCAAACTGCACAATTCAATTCTGGGAAAGTCGGGACGGAGAATCCACTAATCCCTGCATTATTTTCAAGGCTCAGGGTACTATAACATGTAAGCATGACTGAAATATTTGTTTATGTACATATAGGTGTAAATAAGGACTACTCTGGAATGGAGCCGTACGTGCAAAAAAACTGGAAAATCTCAGTCTTTTACATACTATGGAAATATTTTGGAAATTGTATTTTACAAACAGTTTTTTCACATTTACGAAAAATCTACATAGAGTACGAGGAAGAATTTACAAATGATTTACAAAGTCTTTTGAAATTTACATAGTATGTAAAAGTACCTAGGTTTTACAGTCTGTTTACAAACAATTTACACATGATTTACACAGTATGTAAAAGTCTGAGGTTTTCCAGTGAAATATAACCAATGCGTTCCTTTTTTAATCTAAAGTATCCGCAATTGACATATCACCTACTCCTACAACTGTAGTACCAAGTGGCTCAACTAAACCACCTCCACATTCAGGTATTATCACATTAAAAAGATATTGTGCAAATAATTGAAAATGAAAATCCAAATTGACGACAACTGCTTGATTAGTAATCTCTTCCGCATGATTTTGTATAGCTAGTTATCCTTCCTATGTGTTGACTGGTTCGCACCCGAAAACAACAACAACAACAACAACAACAACGCCATCGACATCGCTTAACGTACCAGCATCATCACAAACATCAACACTACAGAGTACATCAACCGTTCTTCTTGGAATCCTACCAGTAAAACCAACCAGCTCTTCAAACCCAACGAGCAGTAAAAGGGCTGAAACCTTAAAGGTATCGAGAACGTAACATTAGTTGTTACATTCAAATAATGAGTAACAAGTATTTTCATTAAATTTGCAGAATACCTCGTCCCATACTGGAGCCATCGTGGGATCCGTCATTGCTGTACTTGCAGTTGTACTCGTAGTTGTCTTCGTGGTCTTAATTTGCCGAAGACGGAAACAAAAAAACTGGTAAGCGATACCATGGTAACACCACCCTGGTTCTATTCATAGACGTTTTTGAAGGATTTTTTCCTCTCGGAAAGTTTGAATTTGGATCAAAAAGTTAATGGCAGTCAACAGGTGAGCCAGTCCGTAAGCACCACTAGCTTCCCGACTTCTATTTTAGCCTGAATATTTTGGTTCACCAACCGATAAAAACCTTCATTATAAGAAGAAATTACGAACATTCACCTGGTACCTTGATACATAAAATCTTACACGTAAAGAAATATAAATCAAGTCAGCATCAAAGTGCTTTAGAAACCATTTGTAATCATTTCCTTGTCATTCTTTTTCTCGACAGGCGCAGAGAAACAGCAACCCAAATATGCAGTGAGTTTTATATTGACAACGTCCATCTTAACATATTAAAGATGGACACTGCCGAAAGTTTGCAATGCATTAAAATAATTGACGATATGTATATTCCGTGTCTAATTATCCACAACAGCAAACAACCCGACGTATGGTCGTAGAAACACCACAGAGACAATAGAGTTACCACAGGCAAGAAACACAGAAAAGAAAGGTACATCAATCCACCATATTATGTATGCAGGTATTTAAAAGAGGTTGACCGCCAAAGAAAATGGACACACCCGTACCAAATTAAACCATGCACTTGATAGAAAGTCATAACTCATGCCCATAGCCATTATTTCACTATTTGATTAATTCACAATTTCATTGATTCTATACCTTCATAGAAGATGAATTTGAGTATGATTACGCTGCAATGGACGGCGATCCTCGTTCCCCTGGTTACCTAAAATCCAATCACAGCAAAGGAAACGGAGTATACCAAAGTTTAATGCCTGACTCACAGCAAGCCTCAGGTTAGCGTGGAAGTTGTCAATGAGTTTCTTCACAKACACGTAATAACAAGTTATGAAGGTCTTTTCTCCTTCTTCTTTTTTCTTCCCTTCCTTCCATCCTTTTTCTTCCTTTTCCCATTCTTTCTCCTTTCCACGCTGCATTCATTTCTAGTTCAATATATCCTTCTTTTAGCATGATTCCTTTCTATTCTATCCTAGTTTATACTCCGTTGAACAGAGAGAACATCATTGTATCAGACCAGCCAAGTGAATACAATAAAATAGAACGTCCATTGTTCAAACCAGCTCGTCCTACAGACCCACTTTACAATGTTCTTCAAAGACCCGATGASAGCAATGACGATTATCTAGAACCAGGGGTGCAGATTTGTGCAAAAGAGCCTACGTCAAACAGGGACCTCCCAWTTAATGAGCCTGTTTATAACGTCCTTGAGRGCCCTAATGATGATAATGATAGCGCCCCAGAGAGWGATATGGGACACATGGGGCACTATCGCCTTGATAGTGATGGCTAYGAATCTACTTTTGAAATGATGCCAGTACTAAGGACCAAAGATGACCCTACATATGAAGCACCATCTGGTCCTTTATCTGAGTCTACCTACCAGCACCTAGATATAAAGTCACCTGATGACGGCATGTATCAGCCTTTGGATCAAGCTTCAAGAGTGATTGAACACTCTTGTATATAAGCGCAAAAGTAAAAAAAGTTGCGAAACTGAAAAACTATCAAAACTACGANTTCAGCAGGCTATATATGAGTTGAATTGAATAGCTCGTTATAAATTCAGCAGGCTATATATGAGTGACCGGAATCAAGGATCAAATTTCGATTGCTCGCTTTCGCATGAGCAGGTTTTCTTAAAGGAAACTAATTTCAACAGTCCATGAAAAAGTCTCAAGAGAAGAGGATTCTATTGTTCGAAACCCAACTAAGAAAACATTCATTTAGACTATTCAGTTTTTGCGAAAACCATGTGAATTGAAAACTAAGTTTGTTAGTTACCTCGCACGTCGGCATTACGCTATATACAGCCCTCGGGCCTGCGGCCCTCGGGCTGTATATAGCGTAATGCCTCCGTTCTCGGTAACTAACTCTTACTTTTGGTATTTTTTATTCAGACTTCCTGTTATATGTTTTCCTTACAAACAAAAACTTTTGTTTGTGCTGTAAACTTGTAGTTCCTTGTAGTTCAGTAGCCAATCAGAATGCTGGATTTGTATAGCATATATACTGTAGTTTGTTGAATACTAGATATAATAATATATTTTAGTATCCAACAACAAATCGCGCGCTCTCATTGGCGGCTTAACCATGGTCTATTTAACAATTAGACCTCGTGGTCGAGTGGACTACGAGCTAATAGACCATGAGGCCAAGTCTAATTGTTTTAGTATAAACATAGAGCAGAGTCACATGAACCATGAAATAAGAACTAAAAAGTACTAGCTAATAGGGACTATTAGTTCCTAATAGTCATTAGCACTGAACCAGAACAGTTTATTTGATCCAATAAGCAATACCCAAGAGACCACTTTAACAATCAAAGTAATCTCTTTGTACTGTTCTGGTTCAGTGATAGTGATAGTAACTAAGTATTTAGTTTCTATTTCATGGTTCAAGTGACTCTGCTCTACTAATCGGTCAAATAATGAAAACAAATTGAAATACCCTTAAAATAATTTATTAATGAGATGCCGCCATTTTGATTTTCCCGCGAGTGGTCTATCACAAATTAGACCATTAGTAGAGTAGCCAATCACAGCGCAGTATGAGTGATAGACCATTAGTATGTTTATACTAATGCGTGATAGACCATGGTTGGAGAAAACAAAAATGGTGAAGCGCTCGAAAATTAAATAAGTTGTTTTGCCAATAAAAATATTACTTTTTTTGACTAAAAAACGATCAATATTTTTGTTTTGTAGCACTCGAATGGCTTTTCAGTATTTTTACTGACAAACAGGTTCACATCGGTTTTTTAGTGCGAGTTTGCAACGGTGGTCGGCGGACTGCAAACTTGCAGTCAAACTAAGACCTCAATTCTTAAAATTTCTACAGTTTTCCACCCTTACTAGTATCTCGATAAGCAATATTGTCTATGAAATGAAGACTTCGAGGGGTTTTACTAAAGAATAAAAAGAGTTTAAGTTCTGATTTTGAGACTCATTTGGACGAGCGAGTAAAGTCCGTAAGTTCTTGTCAAGCACCAGGCCTGCTTCATGTTTACTTTAGAAAGAAAGCGTACTGATGGATTATGATATTTTCAATCAAAAACTAGCTGGGAAAACTCAATACAGAAACATTCAATATATTCATCCTAAAATTTGTTCTGGTGTGGAATTTTCAAGAAAAAATGTAGACGAAGACGAAAACTTGACAAGCTTTTTAATGTATTTATACAACTATGCAGGTATTTAATAAATAGTATTTTATAAATTGTTGACGTTCTATTTATGAGATTTTTGTATGATTTTTCCATTTGATGTGATTTTTTTTCGAGTCACGAGTGCTTTGTAAGCTTAAATTTGTTTTCTTTCTACTGAATGAAAAATGAAAATATTTTGTTTCTCAAAATCTAGAAAACGTGGATAAAATGAAAAAGTTGTTGGATACTAAAACAATCGCCCTCATGGCCTACGTTCAATAGCCCACTCAACCTTCGGCCTCGTGGGCTTAATTTAACCGTAGCCCATTCGGGCTTCGGGTCTAACTGTTAAATATTCAATGGGTGCTAAAAAATCGCCTGCTTTGTTTTCCATTGCCATGGGAACTGGTATTTGAAAATTAGCATTGATCCAAACTTTCATCTGAGCTTTGGTTGATTGAGGAAAAATAAGTTTACTGTAAGGATATAAAAAGTAGAGTATGTCTGAAAAACAACCACTTGTCCACTGGTAGCTATAGATAATAATAGAACTTAAAAGTGAAGCTATTCACGACTTTCCATACTCAGGTTCAGTGATCATGAACAAAGCATTGAACCGAGGCGTCAAGATACAGTGAGCATAAAAGAAAAGATCTGTGATTAGTGTTACTTGGCGCCTCGGTTCAATACTTTGTTCGTGGTCACTGAACTTGAGTATGGAAAGTCGTGAATGGGAATTAAATTTAAAGGAGTTTGATATAACTATATAATCTGACAATCACATTTTTTTCACAGTATTATCAAAAATTCTTGTAGCTTTAAAAACTTTCAAAATTAATATTGAGAGCTTAGGCTTTTAGACAAAGTTAATGTCCTGAACATGTCCTACAAATAGCCTGTTTGAGCAGTCATAAAAAGGGGCAAGTTTTGGAGAGTGCCACCTGAGCAGCGAATACTGGTACATATTATGATACATGAGCACCTTTCTTTTCAGAGATTAACATGGAACACAGCGACTCCCCCAAGTATCTTTGATGGAAGAATTCTTAGACTGGATACAAAACATTGTAAATTTAAGTATGGACATAGTACTGTTATTAACAACCCATGCTTTGTTTTCAAGATTAGTGGTAAATTACAATGTGAGTTTCCAAACTGACTTGCTTTGAGGTGCATATACACCTCAATTGTGGATTGATATATACACTCATGCATATATAAATTCTATTTATTATTAAATTAATTTGAAATTAATTTGAATGATGATAAACACTTAGATGCCGTGGGAAGAAACGCCAATTTAAATCATCATCAAATGATTTTGAAGATGGGATTATTTTCCACATATAATAGATATATAACAGTGAAATGTATGTAATTTCCATGGAAAAAGCATTTGAAAAAGTGTGAACCTTTTGCAAATGTGTATAAAATTTAACAGTTTCTTATTAACATGCAGTTCTTTCAGGATAACCAATTGGAACAGTGTATTCAGTTGTGGTATTCAGTTGTGCTATTTAATCAATTTAATTATTTATTTCAATATCTTTGATATATACAATGTAGTTCCTTTACCTTCTAAAACAACTTCAGTGATAACAACTATCAAACCAAGTGCAAGTACATCTTTGTTATACTCCTCTACAACACAATTGCTTTCAACACTGCCTACAGGTAAATAAATGACTGAAGTAACCATAAATGTTGTTCAAATAATAATAATGATGCTATTAAATATAATAATAAAAATTATAGTAATAACAATAATAATGAGCTTACCTAGTTGATTGAGGAAAAATAAGTTTACCGTAAAGTGGATATAAAAAGTGGTATGTCTGAAAAACAACCACTTGTCCACTGGTAGCTATAGATATAGAACTTAAAAGTGAAGCTATGTGAACTAAATTTAAAGGAGTTTGATGTAACTATATGAGGTGTGCCAACTCAAAAGGGGTGATAAGTTCTAATACCCCTTTGATGACGCAACAGTTTATATGCAGGCCAAGGGAAGAGATTTTGGGGTAAGACCCCTTTTGAACTCCAACATCTCATCTCGTCTTCCATTAGCAACATTGGTGTTAACCTAGTGCGATGAGTTGGTACGCAAATCCTTGACGGTTAAGGCCATGACGATTACATGTACCACTTAAATGCACTGTGCTATTTAGACCTGAAAACAACAGTGTATGGACTTAAGAGTGACACAATAAATGCTGAAAATACTCAATGAAATTGTTGTACTGTGATGGTGAGGAGGTGTGTGAACTCAAAAGGGATGATAAGGTCTAATACCCCTTTGATGATGCACTGGTTTATATGCAGTCCAAGGGAAGAGATTTTGAAGACCCCTTTTGAACTTCAACATCTCATATAGCTGACTCAGTCAATCTGAATTATATATACCATATTAACTATTGTAGATAAGTTATTTTTTTACTAAAAAATATTATTTTTTAGTATGATTATATTATTTTTTTATCATTATTCTAGGACCACTTTGTCACAGGGAGGTGCAAGGGAATGGAATAGAAACACATTTTTTTTTACAATTTTTGCTTTCAAATTAGATATGTTATTTTCATCAGCAGTATCTCCATCTATAACTCAAGTACAGCCAACACAAGGTGTAACATCATCACATGTTGGTACATTTACAAAGGTCTCTATGGTAACTACAACACCAAGACCTTCAAGTACTCCCCCTGTAGTTATATCTAGAGGACACAAAGATGAGGTATGACCTCATCCTTATTTTCATATCATTCTCTGTCCATTTACTACAAGGCTTTTACAGTAAATAATTTTGTAAGCGTTAATGCATGAGTTAAATGAAAGAGAAATTTTAATGGGTTAATCAAATATTTGGGAGCAATAACCATTCTTGTCCAGTATCCGACCCCAGTATCCTTTACAGCTTCCCAACAGAAAATCAAAGTTTCTGGTTGGAAACAAAATGACTCTTTGATTTGATAATTGGTTCAAAAATTTCCATGCATCATATCATAAGACCCAGAATCTGGATCTTCCAGTATTGTCTCCAGCCAAAGCCTTCAATTTTCTGAGTTAGGAAACTGAGAAGGAACTGGGTACGAGAATAAGTTAATAATAACACAGTAGAAATGCTGGATTTCTGCATGCATTAAAAGCATTGAAATCAACGATATTGTAAGTAATAATAATAATATCTACAGTTTAACCTTGTATTGAATTGTACTGCTGCTTGATAAAATTATTATTTAATTCAACAGCAATCAGGTGCACCTGTAGGAGCTATTGTGGGACCTCTGGCTGGCATTCTTATTATAATTGGAATCGCAGTCATACTAATTTTCTTATGGAAAAGAAGACAAAGGAAAGCTACCAGGTAAAGACTAGTTACTCTGTGAAAAGTACAGATAAAAAACGATTAGCATGCAATAAGGGCTTAATTAATTTACTCATTATACCTATATTAATGGAGATATTGTGAGATTCGACCTTAAAACCGACAGATGGAAATGGATTCTGAATGAATTTTGAAGTTACCTATAATGTAAAACGTTATTTCATGTTAATGGTATAACAACTAACTTTAGTCTGGACATTTAAATACATGTATGTGATTCAAAAGTAGTTTAATGTTTGTGCTGTTGTAATTAAACCCAATCCTATAACTTTTCTTAATCTTCAATTTTATACAGAAAAAATGACAAAATAGGAAATGGACAGAATCATAAAGGTAAGTCATAATAAGTAATGTTCAAAAATATGTTGAATGTAGATCCCAAAAATGTCCAATAATATTATAATAATGGCATGGTTTCAATGATGCTGCAGTTATCATTTTTCAGCCTATTTATACTGTAAAAATGTTATAGCACCTATTTAATTATAATAGTAATATATTTAGGAATGTGATAATTTTCTATCATTGAAATAGAAGTGCAATGTATCATTGAAACATGTTAAAAGTGTATTTATTCATATTCCAGAAGTATATTAAAAATTATATTCCTTGTCGCCCCATGACACGGAATCCAGAATCTGGCAAAATTTTCATTAGGAAAATGTTCACTAGGAACCTGTGGTAATGGAACCTAGAATCAGGAATTTGGAAAAAGTTTCACTTTGGAATCCGGAACCCAGGATCTTGTGCTATTACACATTTGAAAGATATCACTTTTTCATGCGAGAGGTTGCCGGGTATTTCAGGGAAGTTTATAAAATGACTATAAAATTAAAGAATGATGCTTATTTTGCATCTCCTAGATAACCCAACATATGGTAAAAATGAAACAATTGATTTGTCAAAACAAAATAGAGGTCCAAAAATCACAGGTAATTTTTCCATGTATTCATTATTACTCTTCAGAAACATCAAAGCACCCCAAGATGTTTCCATGCTTTGGCCATTTTCATTATTTATATTTAGTATATTAATTTCATTAAATATAGGTAATGAATTGGAGTATGATTATGCAGCTGTAGATGGTGACCCTCGTGCATCTAATGGCGCGGCACCCAGAATATATCAGAGTTTGATCAAAGATCCTAACAGAGAATCAGGTTAGCTTCAGTCATAGTTAACTTACTATGCTTTTTAGTTGAAACTTTTGTGACCCGTATTTTTGTTCACAATCAGACAAGTGTATGAACAATATTGTGCCAGGGTGTCTGATTTGTATGGATAGGCCTGGACATGTTTGGAATCATTTGCTTCACTGTTATTTTCCTGGGAAACATAATAAAAGAAACCAGTCTCCTTTATTGATTGACTTTGTAAGAAATATCCCATGTTTTTCATGATTGTGCTGTTTGCTTTTGCAGTTTACACTCCTCTGGAAAGACAGGAGGCAAATCAGTATAACAAAGTAGAAAGGGCACCATTTAAACCAGCTCGTAATGGTCCTACAGATCCAACATACAATGTCCTTGAAAGACCCAGTGACAACAATGATGACTACTTAGAACCAGGGTCCCATATTGATAAGAACAAAAGGCCCCCTTCTAAACCGGCCCCTCAAAATAATGAGCCTGTGTATAATGTCCTTGAGGGCCCTAATCAAGAGGGTGAGGATGAGCCTGAGTATAATGTACTGGAAGATCCTGATGCGCAGGATGATCCAGAATATAATGTCCTAGAGGACCCAGATGACAACTATGATAATACCCCAGTTGAGACAGATAGGGGACATCCTTCATCTCATGATAATGTTGGCTATGCATCAACAATTGACTTTAAGAAAAGGCAGGGGACCAAAAATGAACCAGTGTATGAAGCACCTGAAGGCCCATCATCTGAGCTAACATACCAGCCCCTACAGATAAATGGCCAAGATAATGTTTATCAACCATTGGATCGTACATCAAGAATGATTCCTGATGACCAGCCAGTATACCACGTGTTGGAGAGCCAAGGAAGTGAGGCTTAATATGGTTTTCTTATCCACAGAAACCCAGGAATAATCTTCTGTCACTTGTTTTTTGCTCTCAGAAATATTATACCCATGGGCATAAAGTCTTTAGAGCATCTTCTTGATTTGAAATTTAAAATGGCATCCAGTTTAACTCAGTAGTCTCCTTCATGGTTACCTGCGCCATGTTGAATAGGTAGCTAAGCCTTTGCATTGAAGCGAGATGAACGTTGAGCATGCAATGATAGAAACCTTCTTTCGCACCTACAGACAATTAATCACAGGTTTCTATCATTGCACGCTCAATGGTTGTCTCGCTTCGATGTAAAGGCACGGCTACCTTTCAAGATGGCGCAAGTAACCATGAAGGAGACTATTGAACAAGCAATCAGGAAAGCAAACATAATGAACTTATTCAACATACACTTAACTTAAATTACCAAACTTCGAGAATATGCTGTAACAGACTCCATGCCCAGATCACTGCCAGCAAAGAATCAGTGACAGATGATGATGCATGTGTTTGCTTTATTGGTTAGAAATTTGCAGCCTTTTTAATCTTAAAATGTTTTGTAAAGAAGAAAAAGAATAGATGCTAATGTTATTCATTGTAGGTATTTGAGTTTTCCTCACTATTAAGACATTACTTGTAGAGTGTAGGTACCTTATATCCATAAAACAACTACTTACTATTTAGTGCATTCAAGTTATCAACTAACTAAATCCTAATATTCAAACAGTATTACGAGCTTGACATGCAAACAAAACAACTAGATCAACTTAATTGGGTTAAAAGTGGCACCTGAATACAGTGGTTTTTTTTTCTAAGAAAAATTAGAACTAGATTGTTCTAGAGATGTAAAAAAAAACTTTTAATGTTTTATTAGCGTTAATAATAGGCAGTTTTGTTACTNTCGAATATCAACAACTAAGACTAGTCTTAGCCTTATCATCCTGTAACTGAATAAATAAATAGTTTCACTTCTATGATTCATATTCGATATATAGGTTTCGAAACTATCAGTTTCCGCTCTGGCTTTTAGCTTGTCGGCTAAATAAAGAGTCCATTAGCTGAAACTGCATAAAAAAATAGGCGAAAATTGAATTTGGCCGGGAAATAAAAAAAGACGTTGCAATAAATAGCCAATAAATAAAATTTCCTTTACGCGTATCTTTTCTTTTGTTTTTTTGTTTTTTGTTTTTTTTAAATTAAGTTTTTTTTTTAAATACATTGATTTTTTTACATTTCCCGCATTTTTCTCATCACGTGCCAGACTCTCCCCAATCCCTGTCACATAAAGCGAAAGTCACGTGATAAATATTTACAAAACTCCTGACATACTTTAACCCGGAAAACAACACTAACTGTCGTCTAATTGCATTTTTCCTGGAGATGATTTATTAATATATTAACTAAAACAGTTGATATGGCTTCTTGGAAATCAGGACGTCCAAATGAAGGTGTTTTTCTTGAAATTTTGTGCATGTGACGATCTTCCCTGCACAACATCGTGCTCAACATGAGGCTATCAGACTACGGTATCTTCTCATTTCTACTATTTTGTGGGAACATTGACAGTGTTATTAGTCAAATCACGTATGTTAAACGTAACGCTGGTGCAGAGAAGTATGATAGATTTGGTCCTGTACAAAGACAATGCCATAAGCATGGAGCACACGGTACTAAGAATGCTCTGAAAGAGTGTGAATGCGACTCTGGAAAAAGCACGTTTCTCTATTTCAACGAATCATGTGTTCAAAAACCTTTCATTGAAAGCATATTAATAAGAAAATCAGGTAATTTCGTAAATACGATATTGTTATCATTTTTGTTAACTTAATATATTTCAATTTTACAAGTTGGCAATTCGTAACTTAATGCTTATCTGTTATAGACTGCATAAAATTTGACCCTACAGGTTCTGTTACACCGTGCAATTTTCTCAGCAACTTGTGTTGCAACACCATTCCATGGTACGCAAGGGTCATCTTACAAAGAACTCAGATCTACATGTACTTTTCGCTGCACGTGCTATAATGGCATCAACAACTTTTCCCATAATTTCAAGTCACATACACTGTTAGAGCTATAAAGTGAAAATGAAAAAAAAAGCAATGACATATTGACTTCTTTAAATATGCCTACAGTACTGCAGTTTACACTGGCAAATGTGTTGCCTGTCAATTTCTTCAGCAATTAATTTTATCGTAAACCTAAATCACACATGTAAACAGCCTGCAAGTATAGTTTGCAACATGAGCGGCCATGTTGTATGGGAATTACAACCTTGAGCCGCAGGCGAATCTTGATCAAATACCCCAGCACAGTGTCACCAGGCTATGATTTTCTGGGCAACTTGTGCTGCAACATTATTGCAAGACAAGTTGGTGATATATATTTTTTAATTGCACAGTGGAACAGCATCTTTTAATTAAATTGAATTAAGAATTTGAAAAAATCCCTAGTATCTAATCTCTTATAACCTCATCTTTCATCTTTTTGGCAAATATGAGACCTTTTTCATTTCAAAAATTCTTATTTTTAACTACATACATGTACATGCATGTCAAACATTGTAAAATGGGATAAGAATCCTGATATTCAACTTGTTTTTCAGATTGTAATCAGGTCAAGTTTAAAGAGGAACATGATGCAACACCTTACCGTGTCTTTGATTTAAATATAGCTTCAACACAACAAAAGTCACGTTTCAAAGACTCACCAGGTTTAACAATTGTAGGGGACAATTGTACAGTGAATCCCATTATACATTATATCAATGACCATGATCTACATGGAGCTGTGGTGACAAAATATAGTAACATATTTAACATTGACAATGATAACAAGGTATGTATGTACACTTAGTTTCCAATTCACTAGGTTTTCTTTGTTATTCATAGG